AGGAGCGAGTGTTCCTAGCATTCCTCTAATGGAGAATGTGCCTTGTTGCGTGACTGACGTTTTGTATTGGCAAAAACCCTTCTTAAGCCCCTCAACTTTTCAAACAATAAGTGATCAGCCCCTGAACTAAAAAAAAAGAGAAAATAACCCCTCTAAACCCATGATTAAAGCAAATTGGCCTCTTCACTAATTGAGCTCCGTGATGCCATTCATTTAATGGCTTGCATGGCATTTAATTTACATGTTGGATGCAACGTTTTATTAGTAATTCACGACCAGGAATTATTCAGCATAAACAAAGAAGGTTAAAACTTAAATTTAGTCTCTATACTTTAGATAAAAAGCATTTTTTTTCCTATATTAAAAAAATCTACTTTGTAATCTCTAAAATTTTTTTTACTTGTTTTAGTTCCTCCATCAATTAAGTACTAATGTGGTACTTTTTTGGTAAAAAATTTTATTTGCTTTAATTTTTAATACTAATATGGAAACTAAAATTGTACATTTGGAAAAAAATTTTAATGAGATGGCATTTCATTGAAATATAATGAGTCCACTTGCTTTAATTAAATTTATTATTCCTTAATTCATGAATTAATTGATTCATTCTTCAATTAAATTATAGATTTGATTATTATGACAATCTTTGCCACAAATTATAAATTTTTTTTATTACTTAGTTCATTAATTAATTGCTCATTCTTTAATTTTAATTGCAAATTTATCTGTTATAACAAAATCTTCTCCTCAATATATATATATATATATATTTAGTTTTTAACCCAAATTCTTATTCTTCTCATCCTCTAGAAACCATATCCATCCAAAATTCTTTCCAAGAATTCTCAAAGTAAGAGAAAATAAAAGAAATCAAATTCAAATTTGTTGTCATTATCTTGAACATATATAGATGCAATTTCACCTCCCCTTCACAAACTTTCTCCTTGAAATCCAAGTTCAACAACTTGCAAAACCCCAGATCCATCCAATCACCAGGTGTTATAACTCGATTTTTCATTTA